TGCTAGCAGTGTCCAAGCGTTTTGTGTCTTTTTTCCCTTTTCATACCGTGCCCCCCCGCAATGGCTCTGTGCCCCCCCCTAGGGGGAGTGCCCCACAATTTGGGAAGCTCTGCACTAGTTAACCCAGTGTGCTACCGGACAACTTGCTGAAAATGTGCTTCAGTACATTCCTATTAAAAATTTTCTTGTTTTTATGTTTTACGTGTTGTTTGGAATCATTACACAAGTAAACACCAATAAAATAAAGTGGTACAGAATAACTGACAAAAGTGGGACCAGCAAAGCCAATAATCCAAGGCAATAACAACCCGTATGACCCTTCAAAATAAAAGTATATGCTTTACACACAGCTTGGCACAGTATGCAGTGCTACAGACTGCAAGATTTAACCACCATACAGTACAGTCTAACCTAAATAATTCTATACCGCTCTTTGAGAGGATGTAAAACGACCATATAGGATGACATGTCTATATTATCCTGCCTGTCTAAGACAAATAAAATGATACTAGTATTGATCTGTTATTAATTCCTGTATCTCTTCCAAAGCTAAAATGCAGTCTCATACTGTCTGAGTGATAAAGTTACATAGATCACCGCCTCTTTGCCCGAGTGAATTATATCAGCTGTCTGGTTAATCGCACAGACTTGATCTAAAGTTATATGGAAATATTCTTCTATAGCACAAGGAAAATTGGTAAACTTCACAAAATCAGACCTTGACTTTAACTCAATGAAACCTTAAGTTTTGCATGAATGGCTCAACATGAACTGAGCACCCTGAAAGTGACCTGAACCGGACTGTGTTCAGCTTCAGCTCTGTTGTGTTTCTCCTCACTTGCAGCTTACATGTTGTTGCCAAAAAGCAAAGCAGGGTTAGGAAAAGTAGGTCATGGGTGAGCCGAGATATTAGATGCGTACTTGTATGTGCACATGTGTGTCTGTGAGCATGTCATAAAATACTAGGCTCAGCTGGACATGCATCTTTGTATCTGTATCCTGTGCATTGGGGTACTTCTTTCAACTTACACAGCACATATTGTCCTCTGTCCCTCCATGTGTTTTTGTGCATAAGTGTATATATATGTGTGTGTTTGTGTGTGTGTGTGTGCGTGTGTGTGCGTGGTGAGGTATTAGATTAATCTGCTGACAGGGATATTGCCTCTAAAGCCAGGCTCGCTGCTCCAACATGCTAATGAAATGGGCAGGCCTCCACAGCAGGATCAGGCACAGAGGTCAGCAGTGGAGAACATTGTACTATCACAGGACGCACAAACACATACACAAGGACAGTACTTTATTACATTTTTGATGTATAACCATAATTCCAAAAAAAAAAAAAAAAGGGATGCTGTGTAAGATGTAAATAAAAGGAATGCAGTAAATTGCAGATCTCATAAACCTATAACACATCTGAAAAAATTAAACAGAGATATGTTATTATTTCATGAAAAATATTAGGTTGTTTTGAAAATGATGGCAGCAACATGTCCCCCCAAAAGGGGGCAGCTGGGCAACTAACTATGCTAGCTGGCAAGAGGCCAGTAAAATGATAGGGTGTAATAGAGCATTGGCATGAATTTCACAGATGTAAAGATGAGCAGAAAAAACTAAATTTGGATTTTTGGAAACATGAATGCCATGTTTTCTGATTAAATAGAAAAATGACCATCCAACTTGTTACCAGCACTAAGGTCAAAACTTATATCTGACTGTGACGAAATGCATTACTGACTATGGAATTGGCAGCTTGCACATGTGGAAAGACATCAGTGCTGAAAGATATATACAGGTTTTAAAGAAACATGCGCTCCCATCTAAAAATGTGTTTTTTTCTGGGAAGGTATTTCATAATTCAGCAAGACAATGCTAAGCCACATACTGGATTTGTAGTAGAAGAGTCCAGATGAAAAATTGGCTTGTTTACAGTCCAGATCTTCAGTCCAGCAGCTGATCTCCTCAGTTAATGTGTACGGACTGCTGTTAAAAGGAGAGGGGATGCTACACAGTGGAAAACCAAGCCCCGTCCTAGGTTTTTAAGGATGTGTTGGTATCATTAAACATTTGATATAATTTTTTTTAACACGCAAGTTTAATCTTCTATCACGTATATTACTGTATTCTGTTTTTATTAACATTTTACACAGTGCCCCAGTTTTTTACTTACTCGAGTAAAATCTGAACTCACCTTTTACAAAATGTATTTCAAATCCAATAATTTTATAAAAATTTATATTTTACATTAAAACAAGAAAAGAATATGATTTATGTGTGGTTCCAGATCCCATAAAAAATGAACATCCACAGTTGTGATGTAAAGAAAAACCACAGAACCACATGACCCAAGGTAGCTCCTGCCAGCAGTGAGGACACAAGTAATACCTACACAACACTGGTTTTACTTTCATTTCTGAGCAGTTAAGAATTTTGTTTTTAAAAAAAGAAGAAACCAATTAAACCAAATGACAAACATATATTTATTAAATTTCTTGGGCTTTTCCTTTGGCCCTGATTAAAATTTCTCTCCTCTGAAAAAAAGAGAAAATCCCTAACTTAGAATATTTGCAGTTCTATAAAGATGCATCTTCAAAGATCTGAAACTTTACAAGCATGAAATACTCGCTCTTTTAACTGACTTTTCAGAGATGCTTGAATCTTCAGTTTCAGCTTTGAACTCTGGTACATCTGACAGGTTTTCTTTTTTTAAGATTTTTTTTAGCACTTTGCCTTTCATTAAAGAGATGCAGCAGAGACAGACTAGAAAAGTGTGTTTTTTGTAAAGCAGGCAGGGCAAAGTCATGCAGCAAAGGTTGAGCAGAGAGTCAGCTGCTGAGAGCATTTTTTAGAAAGTGGTGTGTGCCCTAGACCAGCGGTCCCCAACCTTTTTTGCGCCACGGACCGGTTTATGCCCGACAATATTTTCATGGACCGGCCTTTAAGGTGTCGCGGATAAATACAACAAAATAAAACTAGTACCGGTACCGAAAAAAAGAAGATTTATTCATAACACACATGAAAAGACCCAGGAAAACCGAGTTAACGATAAAAACAATAACAAAATAACGCTGAAAACCAATAAAAACCCTGAAAACCATACATTTCAGACCTCAACTCTCGCGGCCCGGTACTAAACAACTCACGGACCGGTACCGGTCCGAGGCCCGGGGGTTGGGGACCGCTGCCCTAGACAATCAACCATTGGGTCACCCCATCAGACAGAGTTTTAACAGGATAAATGAAACCAGGAAAGTGTGCTATTCAGCATAGCGATTTCAAGACCATAGCTTTCAAAACTTAGTTTTGAATCTTATGATTTATGATGGTAATTCCACCTCACAGGGAACTTATATAACACTTCAGAACTTTAACTCAAGAAGAATTTCTGAGTGCAAGATTTTCAATTTCACAGGTCTGATTCGGGTGTTTTTTGCCATTACTGGCAAAAACTAAAAAAGTTAAATACAACAACCTTGCAATAATTGCTCCCTTGATTAAGGATGTCATATTCAGTATTTGACAAATAAGTGTTAATTTAGCAGTTTGATCATTTTGAATGCTGCAGTTCGTGGGCTCAGTTCAGTTGCATTATAATAACTGGAATGTCTAATATTGTCTCCATTCAAAATTAAAATAACAGAAACACATCTTTGCACAAAGACACCTTCACAATCACCATACATATACACTCACAGCACATATAGAACATTATACACTTCACCAGCACACACACAACATGTGCAGCATGCTGTGAAAGTGTGCACAGATGCACGGATGAGTGGGAACAAACATAAACACTGAGAGATGCAATCAGTGAAGCCCAGGACACACAGAGATAAATCTCCACAGTTTGGGACAAACACACACTGGCACACAAACACGCAGAGTTAGTCCGAGTTAAGGCAATCATCAGTAATCTGTGTACCAGGGCTACACACCATCTGTAGTAAAATCCTAGTTACAAAAGATACTTTCATAACTGATCTGTAACCAGTTGTGAAAAAAGCATCCATCCATGCAATGCTTTTCCACATTGTTCCGGGCCTTTGTGTGACGTCTAACACATGCGAATCAAGAAGAGAGGAGAATGAGGGATCTTTGTGTATGTGTGCATCTAGACTCTGCTGAACTGGCTGCCACCAGCCTCCACAGCATTCCACAAACCTCAGCCACCGCACAGATCTTAACCATTCAATAAGCAAATAGCCCCACACGGGCCCTGGTTGGGGAGAGGGAAGGGGCTTAAGTGAGGTTATCAGCAGCTAAGTGGCCACTATGTTTCCTCCTGTGTCACTGGAGGTTGCTGGTTGACCATTAACACACGTCCAGATAAAACAAAACAATACAAAATAATTCAGTGGAAAAGTGGAGGACAAGGAATAAAACTGATATGTTGACCTCCCATATGAATGCATTGCCTACTGTCTATGTACAGCATTTAGACAATAAAATGTTTATGTGTTAGCAGACAAAGGCTTGTTTCTTATTAAATCTTTATAGCAGCACCTTTGTTCTCTGAATTACAGAAGTGACCGCTGTCTGAGCTGTTCACACACGTAAACAAAGTTAGCAGAAGTGTAAGACAACTGATTTGTTGAGTAGGAGATTTTTTATAAACAACTGATTTCATTAAAGCTGCAAGTGTAATTCTCCACAACTTTATTCATCTTTATTGTAGGAATCTAATTCTTCTTGATAGAAATAAATACTAAGCTAGGTGAAAACTGGTGGAAAATTCAGTGAGTAATGATGATTTTCCTTGTGGGCTGACCAGAAATGTCATCACCGTAACAATATAACCACTGCACTGAAGTCACAGACAGAATAGGCTCCAGTCACACAGGCCTAGAGACCAGTTTATGAGCTCAGCATTCACAGTAGAGAAAAATGTGTATTCACTGGTTGGCAAGTGGCTACTGGAAGTTGCTGGCTATCAATCAATGAAAGTTGGGGTAACCATTCACTTTCAAAGTAAAAGCTGTACATTTTGGAATGTGTTGGTTGCAGTGGTAAGGCACAACGTTTACTCTGAAGGTAAGCATTCTCTGTTTCTGGTTTGCATTGCACTTTTTAAACTTCCACCGCGGCTTGGCAGGTAGTTGGCCAGACAAGTCGGCATGTTCCATGCAAACTATGGCCATCTACCTATCTAATGTGTCGAAAAAGTGAAGCCAACACGCAAATGCTTTAAAGCTGCATTCTTCTGAGTAACCATCGGGGGGATTTCTGTGTTTGCCGTGAGTACAATGGTACTGTCTATGCTTGAAGTACTAGATTTAACTGAGAGGTAACTGAGCTAAACCAAATGCAAGATGGGTACAATGTTTTTTTTTTTATGTTTTTAAAAATGGTCCAATCACTGCAGTTTCTTTATTATCTGAAAGCCCCATAATACACGATGTGAGGTGAAACTGCCTATGAGGACACCCTTAGATTGACACAAAACACAGTCGTTGAAATCTTTGCATATAGTAGTAATTTCACTGGGTGTTGGCTAAGGCTCTGGACCAAAAATAAACTCTACATAAAATACAAACGAGCAATCTGTCATTACAAAGTAATAGGTGGATCACCACGAGGGTGCAATAAGTCCACGTCATCTGTCACTGATCTGTATGACAGCTCAGTAACATGTCCTGACATGTTCTCTACTGCAGCCGTCAGACAAACTGCATCTAATTACAGCAGAAACCCTGAGCATCATCCTCTCCACCTGTTTTCATTCCTGCATCTCAGAAATGTTGGTACTTTTCCAGCTTCTGATTTATCCTCAAAAATCAATTTCTTCTTCATCCCTTTCATCCACCTTTAGTATATTCCCTCCACACATGCATCCACATTATCTCCACTTCTACTTTATCTCTAAAAATATCTCAGTCTCCTAATAATGAACCCTTTACCAGGGTTTGCAATATACATGAGAAAATAGAAACAAGGCTAAAGTAAACAGTGTCAGTCTTTGATTGTAATCTAAGCCTGTAAGGGCTGGGGGTTAAGGCTGTTCGCCAGTAAGTAATTAGAAAGGTTCAAGGTTTTGGAAAGCCCCTCTGTAGCTCCTTCATTGTATTGAGTGTACTGTGCTGTGTGTAATCAAAATGGAACAAAAAAAAGAGTGACGCGGGATGTTCATCTTCCCAGCCAGCCAAAGCACCCGTCCACTCTGACTGCTAAGTGGCAGAAATGCTGGCATCAGATCAGCAAGCCAATGTTGTTGGTGAACAATGGCATGACGACGCTCTTGCCATACCATGGGTTGTTGAGTAAACTAGGGAATCCTTATTTAACCCTATTTTGCTAACTACTCCTAACACAGACCCCAAATTGTAGGCCTACCATCTTTTCATTAGATATTCTGACAGCTATAACCCACTATAACATTCATCCATCCATTTTCCTAACTGGTTATGCATCTTAGCTGGGACACATCCCAGCCGTCTCAAGGTGAAAAGCAGAGTACACTCTGGACAGGTTGTTGGTCCATCGCTAAAGTAAAGAGACAGAGAACTACACACACCACTCCATCTTCTGCCAATTTAGACTCATCAATCAATCAACCTAACATTCATGCCTTTGAAATAAAGACAATTTCAGAGCAGGATATTCAAACCTTGCATCTTCTTGCTAGCCACTGCACCACTGTGCAACCTTGACTATAATATATTCATCAGTATATCTAAAAAAAAAAAGTCTATCTTTTCAGTCTCCTACTGGTTATAATACAATGACATTATTCAAGTTGTACTCACCAGGCAGTCTGTTCATGTTGACTCCCTGAGCAGACAAGCCAATGCCCATGTATCTGCACACAACAAGAGACAAAAATATTAGATTTACATGTCATTACTGAGCGTCCAGTACATTTAAACACTCATATCAGCTTCTTCTCAAATCTTTAATCCAGCTAGCTTTGCAAATTCTGAGCTGATGCTCATATACTCATGAGGGTTGGCAGAAGTGTCTTCAGATTCTTCTGACTAGTCATTGTGATTTACTGAGTCCATGAGCTGAAACATGAAAGTGGCAAACAAGGATAAGCAGTTGGTCTGCATCATTTTCATGTAGACCGGCTTAAAATGACAGCAGAAAATCTTTTTACTCATTTGAACAAGTCAGCATTATTGCCACTTGAATGCATTTGGCATATTACAAAGTAGTAATAATATAAAGATCAGTAATAAATGCCTGCTTTGGGCCATGTGGTTGGTCTTATTCAAATGTTCCATGCTTTTCAAATAAGTTACATTTACAAAGTAAGAGGAGTAAAAGACACATCAGTCAAGTCTACAAAAACTCAGGGCTGCAGGGCATGTGTGAACACAGCTTTGCAGCGCATAGACATGCTAGCATCTCTGTGATGCTGGACTTTGTCATAGCAAGCTTTTGTGCTCAACAATAATAGCAGGTAAACTTAAAAGGCACCTGATGCTGGCACAATATAAAAAATTAAGAGATCACCAAAGTTATTCAGCTCTCACTTATGTCTGCATTGATTTGACTGTTATCTAGCGTTGGAATATATAATGAAAAAGACTAAAGGAATACATCAGCGGGTTTCATCTTCAAAAGATGAGAACAAAAATATCTGCACAGAACTTTGACACTCCATCCAACAGATGCAGAAATATTTCATCACCAAAGCTATGAACAAAAAGACTGATGCACTCACACACACACACACACACACACACACACACACACACACACACACACACA